TTTCAGGTAAATTGTAAATTGTAATTAATAGTCTTTATATTTTATTTTCAATTTGATTTTGTATTTCATTTATTGACTTATCTTGTATTATATATGAATTATAGATATAGTAAAAGTGAAAGAGATATAATTGTGGGACTCATCAAGTGTTCAAGGGACTTAGCCCAAAAACTTATCTACTTTACACTATATTTTAGTTTGGTATCTATTTTAAATTGTTAGATGGATAATTATTGTTTATATATGATTCTATTTATTGTTATATTTCATGATAAATATTTCTAAAGTTATATGGTTCTATATATATATATATATATATCACTTATTTAACATTTTGATTTTTTTGTATTTATGTTATGTAGCTTTTTATTCTTTACATTCCTTTTTATAAAATAAAAATTATAATATTTAGATATGAGATGATTTGGCCCATTAAGTCGCATGGACTACTAGTAATTGGGTAAGGGTTATTTTGGATAGATTTTCTTTGTACACCTTTTATGGGTGGAAAAAAACCTTGAAAACTCAAAAATATTTTTCAAAAATATATCTCCGAACACACTTCAAATTAAGGTGTTTCGGAGATGTATCTCTGAAAACAATGTGTTTGTACTTGGACGTTATATTTAAACATGCAGTGATTTTTTCAGAAATGTACCTCCAAAAGACCTTGATTTGGGGTAGGTTCGGAGATGTATCTCTGAAACCCTGGATAATTTTTTTTTAAATCATCAATGTGTTGATAAATATTTAAAAGAAAATGATAATAAAAACGCAAGTTAAAAAACATAACACATAAATAACGATAATAGACACAATAATTTGTTTAAAATAAAATAAAAATAATACAATAATTGCTCATAAATTATTATGAAATAAAAAAAAAAATATGCATAAAAAAGCATTAGCCTACTGTGTATGCATGATCTTCACTCTCTGGCCCCTCTTCTTTCTACTGTATCCCGCCGCACTCTCTGTCTCTCCAACCATCCGTTCTATAATGACCACTGCCTCAGGACCGCCTCGGTCAATGGTACCTGTGTCCAAAGCCTCCCGCCCAATCATCTATATCCGGTGATATATCGAAAAGAGATCAATGGCATGGTCATCCTCGACCTGCTGGTTCTCTAAGATCTCCTCATGAGCTGGCTTAGATGGACGTCCAGGAGCATCTAGTGTCATGATATGATGTGACACGTTAAAGAACCATGTCACGTATCCTTCAACACAGTGTCAATTGTTGGATGCTTGCATCATCTGACACTCCTCTAGCACCAAATGATGCTCTCAGTCCTAAAATATGCCATCGAGCTCCCGACAGACATTGATGTCGGGAGCAGCCTAAAAGGGAGATCTAGGCATGTTCTGCACATAGTCAAACTGTCGCATGCATCGCTCCGGCAAATAGTTGACCATAGTGGACATCTCACATGCCAGCCACCCAGAGTATAATGAGATGAGATCGAACTGGATAATCTCTCAGTGTTCCTCGAACAACGTCCATAGGATGTCATCATGGACAGTCCTATCCAAATACACGAAATGGCAGCACAACATGGTTCCCTCTGTGAGGGGCATACCAAGCAGTCCTCGACATGTGCTCAATATAATCCCAGGCATAATCGAAACTATGAATGTGGTGGAAGTGTGAAATGATCCAACCCTGAAAAATGAATAAGATTCATGTAAGAAAAATTTATAGTTATTAATAGTAAGTTAAATTTAATAGTTTGAATGATAATGATCGTTAACAGTGTAGTAGAATCTGTCAGTTGTCGTGCCCTCCAATTAGAGGCTTCATTCAGCTGTTAGTACAAGTATATCAAACAGTCGGCCCCTCAATTATCCAAATCCATGAAGTACTGAAAGTATGCTACATCCACGTAGTTGGCGCTTTTGTCCATAAAAATGGACGTGTCAGCCAAGAACATGAAATAACACCTCAGAGCACACTGACGGTGATAAAGAATAAATAAGTTGTCTCCCTCTGCTGCTAGTCATACTGCTCCTTAAGGAATGAGAACTTGGCATGAGCCTTATTGATGGAGGAACACTGCATAAACGCCTCTTCTAGATCAGCTCCAAGATATTTGACCATCCATTCAATCGCTAAATTACGATCGATCTGGGAGTGGTTAAGTAACCTTCCTCTGATAGGAAGGCGTAGTAGACTGACAATATCATCAAGTGTGATTGTCATTTCCCCAACAGACAAGTGGAAAGATGATGTCTCCTTGTGCCACCTCTCCACAAATGCCCCGTGCATGTCGTGGCTGATGGTTCTATAGTCGAAACAATAAAGGCCGACAATTCCAGACTTACACCTAACAACGCCAATCTTACACCAAAACCCAATTTTTACATATACAAGGGAGCTTTTTACAGTTTGTACAGAATCTAAACAACTAAAAATAGAAATGCAAATATTAAAATGGACTGGAGAACTTACTCAAATTTGAAGCTTTTAGAGTTGTTGAAATGTGATGAAATTGAGAGTTAGAGTGAGTTGTAGCAAGTGCAAATGAGTACACCGACTTGAATGAATTTTGAAAGTAGAGATTTTTGGAGGTTTTTGAGTGTTTGAGAGTTAGATTTTGGAAGAATTGAGAGTAAGGAATGTGTGTTCGTATTTGTTTCTGTAATACCCTATTTCGGAGATGCATCTCCGAAACACCCCTGATTTTGAAGAAAAAAAGTGTTTCGACAATACATCTCTGAAATAACCTTAGAAAAAATAAATTGTGGTGCATTCAGAGATACATCTCTGAATTCTAGGGATAAAAATGAAATTTCGCCAGTGGTGATTAAGAAGGTGTAAGGATGTACAAAGAAAATTCCTATTTTTAATAGATCATTAAATAATCAGGCTGACACGACCCATTCATATTGACCAATTGGGGCGAAGCGGTCTGGATCAGACCGGTCCATTGAAATTTCTTTTCGCATTTATTGAAATTTTCCAAAATTTCCAGAAAAAAATTACCTAAATTTTTGAAAAATCATCAAATTCTTTGAAATATCCGATAGTTCATTTTCGGAAAAAAAAACTATACTACCGAAAATTTTAATATATTTAAAAAAAATTCGATAGTATAAAAAAAGTATCTCTTTCAAAAAATTATATTAAAATTTTCGTTTTTTATTACCACTCAAATTTATTCATAGATATTGCTGAAATAATATAAAATGGAAGATATTAGGTAAAATACTCCTATAAATATTGATCTTATATTATGTAAAAAATTCTAGATCTTCCAAATCCTAAAACTTCTTATAAAAAGAGTAAAAAAATATCAAATCAAAATATATTTTTTTTTATATTTAATAAAAATTTATTTAAACGTCAGAATATTTGCGTGTATCATCCAAGAACAAGACCGCGATCCACGAGTAAGATAACTTCCCGAAACTACCCGCATTTGCTTATACATGTCCCTAACTATAAATATTTATTGCATATTTGGCTTTTATTTAAAAAAATAACACTGTAGTTAATGTGTTAGTTTTATATTTAGATGTATCAAAAATATTGTTTGTATATGAAATATAGTTAATTTCGTAATTCGTCTCATGACTTTTTTATTCATTACGTGAAATTCTAAAAATATTTTTAAAAATTAAAAATATATTTCCGGTTCGTACCTCCTTTCACACACATATAATTTATTTGTTCTGAAGTTAATTATATTTTATAGTAAAAATAAAATAAAAAATACGCTTCCAATATAAATCAGAAATACACATTTGATTCATAATTAAATGAAACACTACATTAGAACATGCAAGGTTTATATCGGTGAAATCTACACTACATTAAGTCTTCAAATCATTACTTTTTAAGATGTGGCAAATTATAAAAAAACATAAAGAAAATTGATGATAGAAGTATGGTGGGTCAGTAGTATTGAACTACTAAGTGTTAGAAAACAAGATGGCTCTAAACAAAGCATCTTGATTGTAGTACTATAACTGTTATGGAAGCATGAAATCAACAAAATATGTGACGGAAAGAACTGGGAATACATTTCCGATTTATATCGAAAATGTATTTCTGATTTTAATTGAACGCAACTTAAAAACAATACGTATTAGATATATATTTTCAATTTTAGAGAGGTATTTTAGAAATTGCATAGGATTTAATTTTTCAACATGGAATGGAGTAAGAAATGCTCATATAATTAATCGTGTGTTATTGTCGTCTAAAATTATTAATTTTTACTAAATTATACTTATAACTCCCTCCAAAACTTAATTCTTTAGGTATGTCCCAACTATATTCTGAACAGACCTGGATCCTCTGCAACACTTTTTCTGCTGCCCTCTCTTCTGCCTTAGTTTCAGCTTACATTGAATGCATATTAATTTTTTGAAGGTATTATTTTATATTGTTTTTTAACCATTGATTTGAAGCATGATAGTGAGCTAAACACAAAAGGTTGGAGAAGATCCATTCTCATTCTGAACGGAGAGTATTATATATATATATATATATATATATATATATATATATATATATATATATATATATATATATATATATACATATATATATATATATATATAACTTCTTTTAAAACTAAAATGCAACAAAATTAAATACTTAATATTGTAAGAATAAATGAAAATTTTAAGCCATTTATCATACATTAACGTGTATAACCAACACGCAAACATAATGATTTCTTAACTCATGATGCATGGGAGCTTTAACTATTTGGCAGTCTTGAGGGAACCGGAGGAAAATGATACACTGAAACAAAAATTATCAACAAAACCATTTATCCTCTAAAAAGACAAAAAAAAAACTTGTAAATATTAAACAAACATAACTAAAGTTATATATAGACAAAATCATTCATTTGCTGGACTGAGACAAAACGCCTCCTTCAACAAAAGAAGCTGCACATTTCACGTATATTATGGACATGAATACAGAAACATTTAGTTTATCATCGCCACAAAGAATAAAAAATGGCATATATCGCAATCTAACTTCATTAGCATCCTGCAGCTTTTAAGAATTTATCATAGGGGCTCGAAGGTGGAAGTCTCAAAGAATGTTGTTGTCTAGTGTCGTGTGAAAGAAAGCAGATTTGATCCTGAGCTAATTGTGCCTGGGTCACCAATTTCAAATCATCTTTTGAATATTCTAGTGCCTGCACAATGACACAGTATTCACGAATAATTATCATTTCCAGAAAACAAAATTTTATGATGGACCAGTGACAAATAATTATCATTTCCAGACAACTGAATTCTAATTTATGCATACGGCGGTAAATGTTCATATTCTTTCCAAATACACCTTTGCAGTCACTGGTCATTTATAACAGACTGGTAGATAAAATTCAACAGAAATCAAGAGGCAATGTGATAGGATCCCACATGAGAAGGTGAACTCACAGAGACAGTTAGCACATAAGTTGTTGTCTAGACCCATAGTATGGAGAGTTTATGTCAAGAAATAGAGACGGACTAAATGGAAATATCCATGTGACTGAGGGTGAGTGGAGAGAAGCGGGAACCAAATTGTGTAAGAAAATTCTGTTATAATGAGTGTGGGTGGAGAGAGAAGGGTAGGGAGTAGAATCATATAGTTTATCAGAGGCAGAGAGCATTGGTTTTCTGTAGGAGCTTAGCTTTATGGACAATAAGATCTTTTTCTATTGTATTTCCTTTTACTTTCAGAAATAACATACTATTTCTCTTATATTTTGCTGTTAATTCCATCTTTTCTGCACTTTGTGATGCAGGGTTCACATCAATATGAGACAAATTTTATAATTGCCTGTGACTGCTGATATTGCAGAACATAGGATACTCATAACAACAGTTCAAAAGCGGGAGTAAATGATACATGAGCAGATGTTGCCTTCAAATTTAGAGTTTAGTTTTAATTTTTACTTTAATAATTTAATTTTGATCAATAACTAGTTGGACCAACATATTGAATTCCAAATAGATCCTGAAGAAAAATTATAATATAACATACACTTCTCTTATACTGAAAAAATAAAATATTGCAAGAAAATGCTAACCGGTAGATGAGAAACTTCTACTTCATTTTCACTTGAAAGAACTATGGCTTTGGTCTCTTGTTGATGCTTAAAACTTTGAATGGCTGACATCTTCTGTTTTTTCCCTGTTACAAGAGCCTCACACTGGTCTTTCATTTGATCATAAGGTAACGGAGTTGAGGAAGTAGATACGCTTGCAACTTGCCGAGCAGTTTCCAAAACCTATCCATATGATAATCCCCATATATCAAAAAGAGAAGAAAGACATTCTCCAGCAGAAGCATAAACTCCGATTCAAAATGCCAATCAGCTATAGATTAGATTAAAAAGAAAAGCATATCATATTTACCGATTCCAAGAGTTGATTAACACCTACAACATCAGGGAAGTGGGTTGAAAGTGATGTTCTGCGATCTGATTGGCTTCCACTTAGCTCAGGCCCGGTCTCTTCATCCATCGAATCATCTGGAGCCATTACCTTGAAAACCAATCACAGTATTTGTCCCGAGTTTTTTTCAAGATAAACTAAATGGAGATGTAATTTTAGATAATTTTACCTCATCAAAATCTAGGAACTCAATCTGAGCAAGTGGAGAACCTGGTCTCGGTGTCTCCATAAACAATGGAGGTCCCGAAGGATAAGCATCATCAGGGGAAAAACCCTGTAGAAGTTGATTTTTTATGCTGGACAACTCATCCTGGAAAATATCGAAAAAAGTCATGTTATTTCCACATATGCACAACCAACATATTGCTCTCCAAGCCACTACTCCACTGCAAGTACTATTTTACATAAGAAATGTTCATTTTTAGCTAGTTTCCAGAACAAGTATGTTTGCGCACGCGACACTGAAACATATACACAGAACAAAATGCATAATTAAATATTTGAACCAAAGGCAACTATTTAACTTCTTATATTCAATCAATATTAAACACTTATCAGACAATCATTTGTTTTGTTATAAACTTCCACATCCTTGCTACTGATTTACTAGTCACTGGTGTATTATCATTGGATTTGAGCAAACAAAAGTATACTGCTTCCTTGTTGCTACCCTCCTACATTTATCTTCTCTTTCTTGCTGCTACTATCACTACCCTTTTACTCACTTGAGCATACTCCCTACAATTTTCTTTACTTCTTTTTTATATTGCACGTTGAGGAGTTTTATGTGGGTTTATAATAGAAAGAATAACAAAGCCATGTTTCTTTAGAAAATCATCTCTTTTTCACTCTTAAGAAAATCATCTTATCCGCCCAATCAAATTTATATTACCTCTGGCAATTTCGAAAATTTAGTCATAAAGTATGATATTACAGTCTCTTTCAACTGCCTGTCATCCAATTGTACAGTTGATAGTGATTTCATAGCAGCAACTTCATCTTCGTCGGATCCATAAATTATCTTGTCTGATTTTATACAAACAGCCCGTAGCAGAGTATCATCCACCAGTTCAAGAAATGGATCTACCTGTGGGTTCATGATTTTAATTAGTTATAAGCATAATTAGAACAGGAAAACAATAATGCCTCTCAACTTTAAACTGAAACTGAAAAACAGGGATGTGGAATGGGGAATCAACAAGAGGTTAAGAGTGGAAGCTCACTGGTGCCTCTGTGAGAGATACTTTGACTTTTGGAATCAGATCAGGGAAATTGCCTTCCCTGGCAGAGAATATAAGCATATATGAAGATAAGGTTAAAAGGGACCTCCTGCGAGATGGTGGTAAGCCTCCTTTAACAGCCATGTAAAGAAACATGTCAGAAACTATTTTCCGTAAAAATATAGTCCTCTGTTAAGTTTTAGCTATTGGACATTTCAAAATTTGTAATTCCACTTTTGCTACCACTTAATGAAGAACATTCCTTTGTTTGGTATGCAAAATGTCAGGAAATGATGATTCTATAGAGATAGGAACTATATGTCATTTTGTACTATTAAGTAAAAAATCACATGTATATCACGTACCTTCTTGGTCCAAAGATATGCTCTTGAGGGAAAATGCCAGTTGAAAGCATCTTACCAAAGCCATGTAACTGGATGTCTGTGGAAAGCAATAATCATCATCGTGAGCTTAGACAAATTAATCATGTAATACCACTTGGTTCTAAATGCTATCCAGATTAAAATTTTTAGGACAAAAATGTGATATACATTATTGTTTTAGTTTCAAAAAGATGAAAACTCATGTCTGAATGTTTACTGCTGCCACTAAATGATGGCAACAATATCAAGCCTAGTAGAAATACTCTTTTATATAAGTTGCTCTTATAATTTATTGCGCTTTCATAAGCCATGATAGTAAAAGCTACTCAGAAAGTTCTATACTGATCGTTAATGATATAGATGATTATAATTGAGCAACAATTAGACAACATGAGTGAAGTGATTTTGGTACTTTACTGATTAAAATCTCTAAAAGCAATCAAGGCACTTGGTATTAACCAACCTCACCTTAGTACGAGTAAATAATAAAGCAATGCTATAAGTGTGCGCCATTGCCTCATAATTTGCAGGGCCATTTTCAGCAGATGTTGCCTGAACCCAGATTGAAGAAAGCAAGAGACTCACTTGGTGACCGCTCAACCTAAGAGATCTTAGATCCTGAAAATTTCAGAGACAACATTTGGTTAGGAGCTTCTATAGCAAAGATGAAACATACAAGCTAACGGATTACTGAACGCCCATCAACATAATTGTTCAACAAGAATCAGTAAGATTAAACTGTGACGAATAGGAACAAAATACCCTCAACCCATCCAACCAAAAAAAAATACAGTTAAATGCAAACTGTAAATGATGATAAAAAATTCTCACGTCTTTTCCATCAGTTAGAGCATGAGTAAAAAAATTCTTCCCGCTCACACCTGCTATTACCTTTTCTTCTACCAGTTTCCCATTCAAGTGCTTTGCTCCAGAAAAACTTTCATGCTGAATGGAGAGGCTGTCATTCTCTACCTTCTTAGCAATATTTTTTTGGTCTAACCAAGGAGTAAACACGGATGGCATTAGCACTATAGAGAAGATACTGTGTGCTCCAATTTGTGTTTCACGGTCAGGATGAGCCATGGTCAGGAGCAATTGATGAAACAATGCATCAGGGAAAGCCTGGAAAAGTTCAAAAGTAACCCAGAAAATTAGACTGTTAAATACAGTCGAGCATTCAGAAACTTCATTCTCAGTCTAAGATTACTTGCCTTCATGTGATACGACACGTTAGGGACGGAAGTGATTAACTTTGCAGTCTGATGGACAGCAGAGATTGTTGTTCTGGCTATGATAGTAGAACTAGAAATATTCTCTAGCACCACGGCCATCAAATCAAGAATGGGTCCTGCATCTCCAACCTGATACAGTAAAAGCAGTGTGACAAGACTGATGCAACTTACCCAATCCTTATACTTCTATAGGAATTTAGTTGATTATAAAATCAAGTCAATTTTGATTCAAAAAAGAGAGAAGAACAGTGTAGAAATGTAGTTGCTCTTCTATAAAAGTCAAAATTAAGAGATGACATTTAAACATTCTTTTCGAGAGATGGCCAACCAAAGACACACAACACAAGTCCCTAAAGAAAACCTCTTCAGTAGAGAAAACAGATAACAAATTGAATCTATAGACATATAGAAATGAAGAAACTATTCTCAGAGAACACCCATAATGATGGCATGTGTCTTATAGTATAAGAGTTTGAAAGACATCAAAAAATTGATATATAATGTTAGCATTTATATTTATATATATACCTTGTTTGAAAGTTGTAATATGCACATTTCAATGGCAGATTGAAATTTAGTATTAAACTTATATGCATCATTTTCAGTATCGGATGCTTCAGCTGAATTTTGTAGGCATTTCCTTAAATGTTTAATGAGATCAGATATTGCACCAATGATTGCAACTGAGGCTTGCGGCTTCACATTTTGTGCAACCTGTGTGGTGGTGTTAATAATATCAATCTGAAGGATAGGTTTCTTGGCAACATTCTTATGATCCAAGTGCTTGACCAAAATGGACAACAGAAGATGGGAGTTATTTCCTGGTGTTCAAAACTGATGATCAGTTATTGAGAAAAATTGGGAGAATTTTATAGCAAAAGAAAATAATAACACGGGATGCAACAAGAATACCTGATTCAGCTAAAAGGGATTGCAAATACATCAAAACACAATAAGCAACCCCCTTTTCCGAAGACCATTGGTTCTCTGAATCAAAATGATGAAAAAGAGGTTCCAGGACACGCCGCACGGTAGTAGCTTCCTTTGCCAATTTAGCTATATTGTACAAGCAAACCATTGACCAATAAGCAGGATTCTTAGCAGTATCCCTGTGAAAGTAGTGAACACAGGCTGTTGGAATCATGAAGGTTTGATTCATACATAATAAAGGGGGTGGAGAGAAGAATAAGAGAATACATACAACTTGGACTCTATCTCAAATCCTGTTGTGACATTCAAGGTGGATGATATACAGTCTTCTTCTTTAAGAAATCCCTGAACCATCTGGTTCTGAGATTGTAAATTCAGTTTCTCTACCCTGGCGAGGTTGGATTTAGATTGGAGATCCATACAATTCTCCAAAATTGCTGATATAATCTATTTCAAAATCCACCCAACAAATAAGAAAAAGAGCACAAAAATTAGATTGACAAGAAAACGTTTTAGCTTCAAGTGTAAACTAACATCAAAATTCAAGGCCCAAACTGCGGTTCAATATTTGGAATAAATACATAGAAACAAGCTTCAAGGTTTGATGCAACCCTTTGCTTGGTGTCACTGCCGGTATCAGCCAAAAGACTGAAGGAATAAAAATAGGAATACAATACTCACTTTGTCAAAATCCATGGAAAGATGTGATTGCTCACCCATGAACTTTACCTGGTCAAAAAAACAAAAGAGAAAATCAAAAGGTGTCAAGGGAAGGTACAAGTAATCTCAAAAGGCACTGCTATAAAGTACTGTGGTAGGAACTAGGGAACTGCTAACGAGTTAAAACGATTTAGTTGTATCACTACCAGTGTGAAACTTATGAATTATTAATAAAAAATAACTAAAACTGCTAAAGATGATCTTTCTCGTTCATTTATTTAATATTTTGTGCAGATGGAACCTTTTCATAACAATAATCAAGATGTGTTTATTCCTGTTTGTTTTGATCAATAGAGAAAGAGCATCAAATTCAGTAAGAAAGAAGTAACAACTTAACAAGGAAAGGAGCATTACCATAGAAGATAGAGCTTGTAGTCCTGCTGAGCGTAGAAGCAGAGCTCGGTCATCATCTCCTACTTCTTGGGCCAACTGACATAATTTCGGGATAAAACCTTCTAAGTTGAACATGTATGTACCATCTGTCTATTTTTTAAATTGTGACAAAATTAGAAACTATAAAGATCTATAAATTGCAATATATCAAGTAGCAGGACCTATAATATAGACTATAATGTTAAACTGAAATCACTGAATCTACTACCAACATGGTGCTAACCATTCATAAACAGTGCTATAAGTTTTTAAAACTCAAATCAAAAAGACTGAATGACTACATACCTGGAAATTAATAAAATCTACAAGAGTATTGCAACCTAAGATCCGCACTTCATCTGCTCGAGTTTGCTCAAAAAGAGTCCGGATGATCCCTAATAAACTACTGGCAAATAGTGGTCTGCAGATTCAGAAGCATTTATTTTGAATATTATTTCTCAGTCAATGAAATGTAGCATCTAACAACTGGAAACCAATTAAACAAAACTGTTTTGTATAACGCACAAGTCACTGCGTATAGGAGAACCATTATAAAAAAACAAGCATAAAGGAGAGCTAATTGATAATGCTTGAGTCAGGCTTGGAGTACAAACATTATACTGAAAATAAGTTCTATACATCTATACAAAATCGTGTTACACAAAGGGTTTCTCATTGTATTATAGTAAGATTACTCATCCAGAGTAAATCTATCATATCATTATTTAGACATAGTCTGATACACCCAACATGAATGTGTTAGAATTCTTCTAATGGCAGTAATGAGAAGTTATTATGGCAGTAATATTGTTTAATTTTAAGAATAAATAGGGAAATGATAGGAGAGGCTGATTATGGAATAGTTATTGAGTGGCTTTGGGCAGGAGAGACCAAGCTCACGGATTCTTGGAATGGATAGACCAAGACTCTCGAATTTCTTGGATATGAACTGATTTTTATATATATATATATATATATATATATATATATATATATATATATATATATATATATATATATATATATATATATATATATATATATATATATATATATATATATATATATATATATATATATATATATATATATATATATATATATATATATATATATATATATATATATATATATATATATATATATATATATATATTCTTCCACTGTCTCTCCAAACTTTTTCTGATGTGCTGGTGTGTTAAATTTGTATGAAAAATATAAACTGCTGTTTTACACAAATTCTGCAGAGGATTGTTCTATCATTTCTGTTTTCTTTTCTTTAATTCATTCACTATATCTACCAGTTTCTATCACAATGCTACCAGGAGGTCCTGGACATAAAACTCGTAAATGCTCATAAGTTTCAAAAAGGCTTCAGCAATGTAACAAATACTCTTATGATTACGACATTTGAATCTTAATATTTGGAAGATAAATCCGGCCCTCAGAATCCCTCTGTGTTTCAACAAACTCAATTGGGATCAAACAGCAAGTCAGTTCAAGGAAGATATCAGCACTTAACTTATAAGGCAAAAAACTTACATCTGCTCCTTACATGACGACAGCAATTTTCTGTATATGCACAAGATAACTTTCACTGAACCAAAGCTTTCATTACGCAAATCCTTGTAACATCTTTGCTCCAAGTTCTCTGCAATCTGCCGATATAAATCACCACATAAACTCAGCATATGTAAGAGATTGAATTCAACACAAAAAGTGAAAAGAAAAAGAAAAAACAGAGTTAAATTGATCCAATAGTGTCTGTTTAAATTGAACACATGCCAAAACTGAAATTAGGTGAACAAAATACTGAAAACATTCAGCAAATGAGAATTCACGAAATAAACTCAGTTGCGATTCTTTTGTTATTTAAAGTATTATACGACAATTATTTCTTTAGCATAGCCTCGTTGAAATTACCAAATGACCAAGTTTTCCTTTAACAAATATTTCAGCAATTGAATGAAAATATTGTAAAAAGGTATAAATAGTGCTTCAAATTGTCAATAAAAATCCCAGTGCTTAATATTTCAGTTCTGTGATTAGATGGAAGCCAACTGGATTTTCTACAATGATATATTAACTAAAGCAGCTAGTAGTTTCATATGAGAATGACTATCAGTACTTCCTCCAGCATGTCATAATTTTATTAGTTAAGTGAAACAACTAGACTACAAGTGACAGAAAAAAAAAAGAGTAGACTTGTGAGAACAGTACCTTGGGAATTCTCAATGGATTCCTAGAAGCATATTCGCATAGCTTTCCGATTTTTCTATCATTGAGTTCAGCAACCTGCAAAACATGGTATCCATCAGGTGAATCAAAAAAGATGTTTGCTTATCCTTTGGTTCAGATAGGGGAGGGGAGAAGGTTGTCAAGATCGAGATCTTACATAAGATCAGGAGAGAATAGCAAAATCGTAAAAGATAAAACTGTAGCTATGATCGGAAAATCCTACCCAATTATTTTTGTAAGATCGAGAGGGGGTAACAAGATCGTAAAACATAAGACCGCAACAAAAATCGTAAGATCCTAAAATGAAAAAATAATAGTATATATTTAAGTATTTTTATATGATATATGTTACTAGGAAAGTGTATTCGTAAGAAAATTATTCTTTTTCATATTTTTTAGACATGTATGATTGGGTTTGTATACTTTATTACTACCACATGGAACATTTGTTAGACATTTGTGAGGTGTTTATTCTCTAAACCCTAAATCTAAAACTTCATCATTTCAAAAGGCACACATTCATCCCTGCTGAACCGTAATTGCTGTGCCTTTGCATCCTGTCACCCTTCTCACCTTTTAATGGTGGTGGTCGGAAAACGGCCAATCATGACTGGAACCGGCAAAGATCGCACAAAATCAATGATTTTACGATTTTTTTACAATTTGGCTACAACACGCGATTCTACTTAAGATTGGACTCGTTGGGGGGTGAGTGAGATCGTAAAATCTTAAGATTTTAAGATCTAGATCTTGAGAGGGACCTCAGAGATTCTAAATCAAAGTTAAATCCAATCAATCTTTACAAGTATAATTTAGATCATAGAGCACCCCCTAGTACCTTGTAATTCTATTCAGAAAACTTAATATCTTATTATTCATAACATAAATCAATAGAAATAAACCACAAAATGGCTAGTCTAATTTTTTGATCACAAAGCAACACCTCCCTAGTGCCTTGAAATTCTATTGGGTAAACTTAATATCTTATTATTCATGAAATAAATCAACAGAAATAAACCACAAAACGGCTAGTATAGTTTAGATCATATAACAACCCAGTGCCTTGTAATTCTATTCAGAAAACTTAATATCTTATTAGTCATCACATAAATCAACAGAAATAAACCACAAAATGGCATTACATTACATCAATAAAAATACTAAACCAATAAATCATCCTCAAATTCTCCAATGCATACATTTGCAAATAATTTCAAAGTCAACTTATAATTCTCAGCTCCCAGAGACTAAGAAACACCCAAAACAAACAACATCATAACAAAACGAGCTGAAAATTTCACCTGATTCCGTGGTAAGATTTCAGCAATCAACTTCTTGTAACGTTTGACCGGCTGTCTCGATCTGGCCCGCAAAGAAGGACAAAAAACACAGAGGCTACCACAGGCGGGGATAACCCGCCTGGACATAACCCCCATTTGCTTACAAATTCACAGACCCTCACCTGCAACAACAAATTCACTTCCCACAATTAACATCACAGTAACATCACAATTAACACCACAACTCAAATTCCACGCAAATTTACAATCAATCTTCACCAATCAAGTCAAATTCAGCTCAATGAACGAACAACACAGGGTTTAATCAATTTCACCAAAAAAATAAACTACAGACTCAAAAATTTCAGAACGAAACAAAAACACAAACTACATAGATTAATCAGCTTGTGAATAATCGAAACCTACCAATTGGAATTTGAAAAATTGAAATTGCACCTCTTCGCATAATCAAGAGTCTTCGATCGCGATCTAGACTATACTCGAAAGCAAAAATTGAAGGGGAAAATAATAATTATGCAAGATAAAGAGAGAGAAAAAACGTGGCAAAAACTGAAAAAGAAATCGATGAAACCGTGGGTAATAGAAAAAAAAGAGAAATGAATACCGTGGGAAAATGGCGATGGGGTCAGAGTCAGAGGGCGAAACTCTCCCCCGGCCATCGACGTTAATATGAATATGTTGAAAAAGGTAAGTTTTTGTTTTGATGAAGAAAATACGTATCGTAATATTAACTGTCATTTTGTCAAATACTATAAATTACTATATCACTATATCATTTCATTTATATCATATAGTATCATGCATTATTTGTTTTATTTTAATTATAATTTTTTGTCAATTAATTTAGTAGTTGAAATTCACTCTTTAAAATAAACAAGTAAAATGTTGCGGATTCAAGTACTCCTGAAAATATAAATTAACTTAATTATTAAAATCATAAACATAAATGGATGGTTGTGATTAGTTTTTTTTACGTACACTATGAATATGAAAATTAGACTTTCAATATTGAGAATGTCAAACTATGTATACTAATATTAATTAAACATTAATAAAATGACAGGTACTGAGAATGTCAAACTATGTATACTAATATTAAATTAAACATTAATAAAATGACAGGTACTAAGGTGCCCATTTACTTGTTCTTAACGTTTATATATTCGTTTTTCTCTTATATATTTTCTTTTCTAAATAGATTCTTGTCTCCTCCTACTAGCCAAATTTATTCATATAGCGCTAGACATCACAAGGAGGCAGGTGGAGACGATTTTTGTATTCCATAAATTTAAATCTGAATTCAAGATAAATCTCTGTTATTTGTCTCAATTTTCATTGGAGATGAATAATTGAATCTTAAACCCGCCCTAAATGAGTTTGGGGATCTCATCCCACTTGTCCATCTAAAACCTTAAGGTGATAAATGAGTGGGTTCTCTCATATATATAAGTGTTCAATCTTCTCTTTTATAATCAATGTGAGACTTCTTTCTCACACTTGATTCTCAACAAAGTGGTCAACATAAATATTGTTTTCTTTCTTTCTCTAAACGCTATTCTCCATCTTCAAAGAGAGAAATAATATCACTAGTTAGTATTTCACATATATAAAAAATACAAATTAAAATACAAACATTAACGATAAATAAGAATACAAGTCAAAACTTAATTACTCAAAGAAAATTTTTATAACGACATATATTGTTAAATCATATATATTACAATATAATAATAATAATAATAATAATAATAATAATAAATAAAAAATATGGCGGGTTCAAGGACGGATTCGGGGAGGGTACTACACCTAGTCAAACTTAGTCAAAACAGTTTTTCTCCATTAAATTCGAGACAGATTCTGAAGAATACTTACGGATATAGATTATATTGCCATGTCTATATAGCACAGAGTGGTCCAACTTCTAATTACTTATTTAAGAAATTAAAATCTCTTATTATTGAGACAAATTTATTACATATATTGTATATTGTTGACTGAAAAATTAATAATTTCAAGTGGTATAACTAGTTATTACGTGATAATCGATTAATCTTGAGAGAAAATTACTTCTAAACAACTTAAAACAAAAAAATATATATAATTGATTAATATTGTTGAGATTGTAATTTCTTGTATTGAAGCAGATTTTTCGACAGGAAGAAAATTGTGTCGAAATAGTCTAATCTAATATATATTGAAATATCAAAGGAGTAGTTTCAATAAATATTTTGATATAGGCCTAATTTTATAGTGTTAACAAAATCATGTATTTTAAAATTTTTATATCTGTGATCTTTGCTTTAGGGAACAAACAAGAGTAAGTCCTATTTTTTTATAATCACTTAGAACTTTTTAATTTCTTAATAGATATTATATACTTAATACAATTATTTCAAATGATGTTTGGAGAGATGAAAAATAAAAATATTTATAAATGGAAAACAATGTATTGTAAACGAAAAAGTGTATTTAAGAATTTATATGTTTGGGGTTGAAACCTTATAAATAGTTGTCATTGTCCTATATCTTAGGTCTATAGTCTTTTGCTCTACTGCGTTTCTTTTACATTTTAGAAAAGTCTAAAATCTTAAATTACTAACCGGTGGAATAGGAAAGAAACTGAAATTTCGTTGAATATTATTCAAGAAAATTTTTTTAAAGAAATTTCTTGAAAAAGTCTGGAGTCTTTTTTAAAGAAAATTAAATCTATATTAATAAATTAATTTATAATTTAACACAAATTAAATAATTATATTTATTATTAAAAATATTAAATAGTCAATTTAATTATTTATAAAAAGTAGTTAATTTAATTCTTAATTTATTATAGATTTTATCTATCTATAATATATTTTTTATATATAATTTAATTATATAAAAATATTAATAATAATAATAAAATATTAATATTTTTTATCATTTATTTTATAATTATTCATGATTATAAAAAATATATTTATAAAACAAATCTTCTTTTCCATTTTGTAGTAGCTACATTTTTGAAAATGTATGAAATTAATAAATAAATTTATAATTTAATAAAAATTAAATATTCATCTTGATTTATATTTTTGGGTTCAGATTGATTCCTTAATTTTTTTCGTATTACTTTGGTCTCTTAATTTTTAAAATATTTCATTTTAATCTTTTTTGTCTAATTAACTACAGAAAAACTTTAAAATTTATCGTTAAATTCGTCGCTAATTGGATAAAAAGAACTAAAATACAACATTTTGAAAGTTATGGAACAAAAGTGACACAAAAAAAATTAAAAGATCAGTCTGAATTCAAGAGTATAATTAAGGGAACAAAATAAATATTTTGTCTCTTTAAAACTATTAATTAATCAATTTTTAATTGCTTATAAAAGAATAAATAGTTAATTTAATTCTTAAATTATTATTTATATAATTAATAAAGTTTAAAAATAATGCAGTGTTAATATAAAATAATTTTACACATACAATCAATCAAAACTCTTATATTTATCATATCATTTCAGTACTTAAAAATTAAAATTAAAATTTATTATAATGCATGTTCCTCCTTAGTGATAGATAGTGTAGAAATATTTTAGTATCAGTGCATTTTCTTTTTTTTTTCTCTCTAATTAATAACAAAAATTACTAAATATATACTCTATTTGACTCAATTTAATAAAAACTATATTAATAGTTTTAATTTTAAATGTTAAAATAAATTAAATTTATATTTGTTTGTATAATCAATCTTTGACTTATATAGTTATCGGTTTTTATTTGATATAATTTAACATTGATTTAAAGTTACATCTATTTCAATATATTACATATATAAATTTCATTATTATTTATATTATAACAATTAAGTATATCAATTTATAGAAATATATCAATTCACATTTATGATATCTTATTCGTATAAATAAAATTATTTTATCAATATAATAATATATTTTCATAATTTCTCATTTTTATGTTTGCAATTAATATTTTATTTTTATATTTGTAATTAATATCATTTTTATATCATATTTTCACATTTATTAAAGAAATGTTTACGACGATTAAAATAAATAAACAAAAAGTTTAACAGTCAAATCATCATTAATCAATATATATATTTATCTATATAATATAAATAAATATATATACTTAAAAATAACACTGAAAAATAAATTTTATTATTATTTATATTATAACAATTAAGTATATCAATTTATAGAAATATATAATTTTACATTTATAATATCTTATTCGTATAAATAAAATTACTTTATCAATATAGTAACATATTTTCACAATTTTTCTATTTTTATGTTTGCAATTAATATTCTATTTTTATGTTTGCAATTAATATCATTTTTACATCCTATTTTCACATTTATTGAAGAAATGTTTATAACAATTAAAATAAATAAAAAAATTAAAATTTTAACGGAATCAAATCATTATTGATCAATACATATTTATCTATATAATATAAATAAATATACTTAAAAATAATATGGGAAAATATGTTATTTTTTAATTATTTATATTACTAATAAAAGAAATAAATGAGAAAAATATTTATAAGGGAAAACATGTTAGACAAGAAAACATAAGTAATGTATGAAATAAATAATATTAAAATTATATGCTAATATAAACAATTTATAATTATTTTAGGATCTTCAAAAAAAAATAAAGAAAGAGTGAAGACTTGAACTAAGGATCCTTGGTCAATGGGCAATCACCACTACCATTAAATCAATATATTTTCTTTATTTTAACTTACAAAGTTAATTGGGTCACGTTAGTCACATATTTTCAGTCATATATTATAATAACATCACATTGAAACTAGGCATCAAAAATTATACATTATCATCTCATACTTTATAGATGTACTATCAAATTTAAAATATTATAGTACCATCAAATTCTAAAATATTGTACCAAAACATTATCGTTTCCTCCATCATTTTCTAATCAATATTTATAAATAATACATAGAGAATATAAAAAATAATAATAGTACATTCTAAGTGCTAGAGCTCTAATAACCTGTTATAAAATAAACAGAAATAAGGAATAAAGAGAAGAGAGAAAGATAAAATGATTATGTATTATTTTATCGGTGTAATCGCATACAATGAGATTTGTCCTATTTATAGAGCATCATATAAACAATATAATAAATACAAATTGATTGAATAAGGAATAAAGTTATTAGGAGACAAATCATCCAATTATTCATAACACTCCCTCTTGAATGTTTGTTTTGGATATGCCTCATTAAAATCTTACTAGAAAAAACTCAGTGGGAAAAAATTTAGTGAAAGGAAAAGAGTATAATATCCTTTTTAAAATAAATTTATTTCTCCCCCCTCAGCTGAACAATTATTTCTTCGAGGATGAAGTTCAATCTTTTGTACTAGTTGATTAAAAGTTCTACTTGGGAGTGACTTTGTGAGAAGGTCTGCAAGATTGTCACATGAACGAATTTGTTGCATGCTTATATCATCGTTCTTTTGAAGATCATGAATGAAAAAGAACTTTGGAGAGATATATTTTGTTCGGTCTCCTTTAATGTAACCATCTTTGAATTGAGTGATGCATGCGGTATTATCTTCATATATGGTCGTTGTATTTACTTTTTCTGAAGACAAACCACAAGTATTTTGCATGTGTTGAATTAAGGATCTCAACCAAATGCATTCTTGACTTGTCTCATGTTGTGCTAAAAATTATACATGATTAGATGAAGTTGTTGTT